ATGGAGCAAAGACTCCTTTGCGGCTGGGTTCTGTGCGGGGAAATCTGGTGGCAGTTTTCTGGACAGTGGGACAGCAGCAGCTTCTGGTAGGGGAAAACACAGGGACACTTGGGAAGAAGTGCGGGACCATTCCCATGGAAGCTATACTCAGGATTATTGTGCTTCCCCACTCTTCTTTTGTGCTGCTTCAAGTTAAGGTCAAAGAGGTTGAAGGGATTGGAATCTCTGGGGATAGGTTCCTTGGGTGGCTGTCCCCATGTACTGATGGGCCAGGTCACCTTAGGGATACCTCCTAGTCCTCATGCAGGCTCCTGTGTCCTTAGGGGTTAACAGGCTGAGGCTGAGTGGATCAAGCCTGTGCTGCAGACTTGTTGGGAGGTTGGTGCTGTGCCCACCAGGATAGGAAGCAGGCAGGCATCATGGGACAGCCAATCAGAGGAGGAGGGGACTGCAGAGGGACCCAGTGATCCTGCTGCAGCTGAGCTGTCCTCGGAGGGTGGGAGCCTAGGGAAGGGGAGGGGAAGAGGGGGTGGACATTCCACAGGCTTTGTTGGCCCCTGCCAGAGACAGAGTAGGGTCAAAGAAAAAGGGGGAAGGGACAAGCCAGGAGGCCAGATGACAAGACAGCATTAAGACAAGGCTGTTTCTCTGTGAGGACCTTTGCCTGGAGCTAAGATTAGACCTAGAGCTTGCTGGCTGGGGTCTGAAGTGTGAGGCATGGACCAGTCACTGGGATGGCAAGGGAATTCTGTCCCCGAGGAGGGGACTGAAGCTGGGGTAAGATGGTCCTTGGGGAGATGGGTAGACCTAACTGGTCTTCCACTTGGCCTTGACCGGCATAGGAACTCAAGAGTTGGAAAGTAGTTTGGTCCCTGGCAAAGCCGGGGGAGGTGGAGAGACAGATGGGCAAAGGACCTAGCGCCTTAAACTCCTTGTCTGGAGCCCTTTGGCCCCTCCCATGCTGATGTATAGTCAGGTCCGTCAGGGAAGATGGTGGTGCCGGGATCCCGGTAGCTCTGCCGGAAGACTCTGTGGGCTTGGGATTTCCACCAGTGCTTCCCCGTCTTCCTTCCTTGTGTCCTTCTGTTCTGTGCCCCGGAGAGAATGCAGTCCTTTCTCAAATGCTTATCAAGACCCCCCCAGATCAACTTCTGGGTCACTGAGGGGTAGTGCAGGGAGATTTTCTGGAATTCCCCAGACTCATTAGCTGCCAAACAACAAGACCTGCTCCATCCTTTCTCTGCGTAGCGTAATTAATTTGGCCAAGCTGGGACACTCTCGAGAGTGAAAGGGGCAACAATTAATCATTATGCTAGACCAACAAGCATAAACTGGGTTGTATGGTTACCCCAGTGGACCTCAGATGCAATGGGTGAGAGAAGCCTGTATAGCCAGACTCGCCTCAGCATAGCCTCCCAAGGGCACGAAGACCCACATGCTAGTTCCTGTTTCCTCTCTGGTATCCAGGCAAACCCTGAAGACTGGTGATCAGCAGGTGTAGGGACCTGCGTCATACCAGACATTTCCCCTAACCTCACTTTCTCTCTCTCTTCTAGCATAAACCTGGCAGTGTGCATGTCTGTCCCTTTCACTTCTGACCTTCGTAAAATGGGGCTATGCAGGAAGGTTGTGGCCATCTTATCTCTCCTACTCTGAGACTTCACAGTGGTCCAGGGTAGCCCCACTGGCTTGGCCAATCTGCGGAGGGTGACTCAGCCTCTGCAGCTGGCCCTTGTCCATTGTCCGGGGGTGGCACGTGGGTGTTGTGAGACAGAGATGAGCCCAGCACTGCCAGGCACCCCACAAAGAATACTGACCCCAAAAGGAGAGGGGAAACTCTTGGGAAGCTCATAGCTATGGGGAACTGAGGGCAAGAGTCGGGGAAGCTGCTCATCTTCTATGGTGATGGTGGAACAGGCTTCGGCAGAGAAGTCGGCCCATTGTACCAGCATCCCACATCTGTGGTCCATTGACGAGGCCGTAACCTTCCTGTACTGCTGAATTCAGGAGAAATGGGCAAGGAGGCAACTAAGGGGCCCTCCCCTAGATGTGGCTCCCAGTTTACAGTACATTTTTAGAGCAGGAGTTCTAGCCATACTTGAGCTGCCCCAAAGCTTTTCAGAGTTTTCTTTACCCTTTATCACCGGGCTGCCCTTCGCATTTAGCATCGGGGGGGGGGGGGGGGGGGGGGGTGTAACGGTTACTCTTTGATTCTAGGGTTTAGGGCCAAATTTGGGTGTAGTTCAGCATTTAGAGTAAGATTAGGGTCAGGGAGCCCAAATCTTGGGCAGCAAACCTGGAAAACAAGGCCTTGTAGTAGAATATGCATGTCCTCCCCCAGATCCCTGACCAGCAGTGACAGAGACACTGAACCCGCTGCCTGCTCTGTACTCTCCTCTCCCTGCCCTGCCCGCTGCCCCTGCCCTTTCCTGATGCTACACTCCTCTTGAGTGACACACTCAGGTGTTAGACCTCTGCTCCTCTCCCTCTTATTCAGTCTGATTTCTTTGCCTTTGGGGCAGCCGCTGGCCCCAGGCTAGGGCAGACCTCCAGAAATGGCAGCCTCGGTGATAACCTGCTGGGAGAACAGGGCTTTGTAGGGCTGGACTCTGAGGCCCTTTCTAGACTCCTGGCTTGGGGAGGCTAGTGAGCAGGTGTATGTGGGGTAGGTGTGAGTGCTTCCTCTGGCTTTGCTGCTGTTCCTTTCCCTTCTAACCACAGTCCTTTCCTTCTTTCCTTTTTACCTTCTGTCTTTTGCCTCAATTTCCCGTCCTGCTCCCTCCTGTCACTCCCACCTACTCTACCCCAACCCCCAGATCAAGCGCTTCCTGGAGGACAGCAGTGATGATGCCGAACTGAGCAAGTTCGTGAAGGATTTCCCAGGAAGCGAGCCCTACCACCCACCGGAGGCCAAGACCAGGGTGTCCAGGCCCCAAATCTCGGAGCCAAGGCCCCAGACCCCAGACCTCTGTGATGATGACCTGGAGTTTAGAGCCACCTTGTGGCCCCAGCCCTCTGAGAGTCAGCAGTACTTCTGTGCCCCGGCCCCTCCCAGCCCTTCCTCCAGGCCCCGCAGCCCATGGGGCAAGCTTGATCCTTATGATTCCTCTGAGGTAGAGACTCCAGCCCTGCCTATGCCATTCAGTGGGTGGGTGCAGAAAGACCCAAGGGAGGGCACAAAGAGAGCCTGGGGTAGGTGTGTGGGTATGCACACCTGCATCAGATGTGTCCGCAGGGCCTTTTTGCAGATCATTCTGTGGATCAGCCCCAGCTCTAAGGTTTCTGCCTTGAAGGCATTGGAAACTCAAGTCACTGCAGGGACTGATGACCTGGCCCGTGGCCTCAGATGGAAGCTCAAAGGATAGGGCAAAGACCCAGAAGAGATGAGGAAGGCTGGGGATGGGAGCTGCTTCTAACCCTGTGCATTATGTCTTCCTGTCCACCAGGACGACAAGGAGTATGTGGGCTTTGCCACCCTCCCCAATCAAGTCCACAGGAAGTCTGTGAAGAAAGGCTTTGACTTTACACTCATGGTGGCAGGTAGGAAGGGGCAGGCTGGGCTGGGCAAGGGGTGTTTCAGACGGAACTGATGTGGCTGTCTGAAGAGTGCATGGGGAGAAAAGGGATGAGCAGCAAATGGCTGTGCCCTTTTTGTCAACTCAGGCAAAGCATGGCCAAAGTGTGCAGGTTTGGGGGGCGGGGGGGTGGGGAGAGGAGGTGGGAGTGACGCCCTTAACAGTCTTCTAGTATTTCCCCTTCCCTTGCTACCTTGGGCGGCCTCTTGACTTCATGCAACCAAGACGGCCGTACAGGCTTCCTCCCAGTTCTGAACACTGTGCTTTGGTTGATCCAGCTCCTCTTGACAAGACAACAGTTTGCCCCAGATCTTGATCAGGTGGACCTTACCTTTTGACTTGGTGCCTCTGTCTTCTCTCCCCTCAGGAGAATCAGGCCTGGGTAAATCCACTCTTGTCAACAGCCTCTTCCTCACTGACCTGTACAGGGATCGGAAACTCCTCGGTGCCGAAGGTCAGGAAAGGAGAAAGAACTAAACTCCCACGGGTGCTGCGGATGGGGCCCCCTCTGCCATGCTGGAAGCCCTGGCTTCCGCCGAGACAGATGTACTGCTTCTTTCCATAGACCTGTCTGGCCTGGCAGTTCACCAGCCAGCTCCCTAAAGATTTGGGTGCTGTGCTGGGCATGGTGGTGCACACCTTTAATCATAGTGCTCAGGAGGCAGAGGCAGGCGGATTACTGAGTTCGAGGCCAGCCTGGTCTACAGAGAGAGTTCTAGGCCAGCCAAGGCTACCCTGTCTCTGGGGGGCGGGGGGGGGGGGGGAGTGGGGATTTGGGTGATGAAGCAGGGCAGGGACCAGAATCCTGATCTTTGAATGAGTTTCTGACCCCTAAAGGATTCCAGGAATCCAAGAAAAAAGCCTGGAGCAGAGAAGAGGCTGGGGCCAGAGCCAACAGCCACCGGCATTTCCTGTGTTGGGAAATGTGTTTTTTGCTGGTTCCCAGGGAACAGGCCCTCAGGCGCCTGGGGGTGGAAAGGGAGGTGGTCTGGACAGCCGAGCTTGCTGGGGTGGGCAGGTGGTTTTGGCTGGGCAGGACCATGCCCTTGCCCTTGCCTCAGTTTCCCTCTTCTCCAGAGCGGATCATGCAGACGGTGGAAATCACTAAGCATGCGGTGGATATAGAAGAGAAGGGAGTGAGGCTCCGGCTGACCATCGTGGACACACCAGGTTTTGGGGATGCAGTCAACAACACAGAGTGGTATGTCTGACCAAGGACAGCCCCAGCGGCTCCTGTCCCACCCACTGACTGCATGCATTCACACAGGTCACACACAGTCACAGACACAGTTCTGTTTGCTAGGAGGAAGAGGTCTGTGACCTTACTGGACTGCCGTCTCTTCTTTAAGTGAGAGAGAAAGGATTGGAATGCATGGTCTTATTTATTTTTGAGACAGACTTACTATATAGACTAGGCTGACCATGATCTCAGAGATCTGCTTCCCAAGTACTGAGATTAAATTTTTTTTTTTTTTTGACAGGGTCTCTTGTTATATAGCCTGGGACTCACTATGTAACTCAAGCTAGCCTTGAACTCAGTGGTTCTCTTGCATTAGCCTCTCAAGTGTTGGGACTGCAAGTATGCCCTACTGTGCTCAGCCCCAAAGAGATGGTTTTTACTATTCTTCCCAGTTCTGACCTGTAGTTCTATGATATTTGTGAGGACACAACATGAAAAGTCTCAAAGGAGCAAACACCTGTGAAAACACATAGGCGCAACATAAACACCGTCATCCCCCGCTTCTTTCCTTTCCGCAGCAGTTATTTTAGACGCCGCAAACAAACCTTGTTTAAGGGGAAATGAAGGGAGGTGTGAAGGAAAGAAAAGCAGAAGAGCAGAGGGAAGGCCAGGTGGCGTGGCCGTGCACCAGTGTAACCTCAGTACTCGGGGGCTGGAGGCAGGGCCAGTTCAAGGCCAGTCTCAACCGTGCAGCCAGCCTGTGCAATATGAGACTGTCTCAACAACAACAACAATAATAACAACCTGAAAGAGTTAGGGGGGGTGTGGTGTGTGGAAAGAAGAAGAAGAAAAAGAAGGCACTCCAGACATGGTTCGGACGACCTAACAAGAGAAAGGTGTTTTTGACCCATGCGTTGCACACACACCCTTAGCTCTTGTTTTTTCATAACTAGAGGAATGCTTAGGTCATGACCACACATACGAGAACAGGTGCAGGTGATGGACAAAAAGGCAGGAGAAAGGGCAGTGCGTTTGATGAAGGAATTAGGCAGATAGTACCAAGAGCACAAATCCTGATTGACATTTAGCACTGCATGATCTTGAGCAAATTGGTTGCATTCTGTCTCCTAATGGAAAAGACCAAAACCAACAACAACAACAAAAAGCACGGGCCATTTCCACATCATCTGTTTGATCTGAAAATAGCCCAGAATTGTGCCTATGCATTTTAGCAATAGTAACTGCAGGGCTAGCAACAAGATTTGTGGGTCTCCTTGTTCATAATTATAAGAATTTCAATATGGTAAGAACAACACCAGACCAAATATGGCCTTTCTGATTGCAGATTCCTATGTGACTGCACAGGCTATATACCCATGATGCTTACCCTAGATATCTGTCTCACAGACTAATCAGACCCTCACAGACATTTCTAAGCCCTCATCGTCTGCTTTATTGTTACATGTGGCTATCCTCACAGATAACTGATTCATCGTCAACTTTTGTCTAAGCCTTGAGCGGATGGCCATCTTTCACATTCTTGCTACAGTGCTGTGCTAGTTAGTGGTACATGGTCTTGTGGTTCCCATCAGTGTTTCTGACAGGCTGAGGAGATGCTATGTTGGCATCTCCTTTCCTGCTCTAGCAGGACATCTCAGCAGACAGCTCGTCCTGAAATTCTAATCCCAACTAGTGTAGCAGGTACCACTTTCAATCAACTTACCTGCTTTACTTTTAATAAATAATTTCAATTTCAGTAAGAATTCCCTTTCAATGATAATAATTTGCAGATAATTCTACTTCCCTGTTTATAGTGTACCTGCATAGATACTAATTTAATTAACCAGCAGAATAAACAGAGCATAAACATACAAGGTAGTTTTTTTGTTTGTTTTTGTTTTTACAGACAAGGTTTCTCTATGTAACAGTACTGGCTGTCTTAAATCTCACTCTGTAGACCAGGCTGGCCTCAAACTCACAGAGACCTACCTGTTTCTGTCTTCCAAGTGCTGGGATTAAAGGGGTGTGCCACCGCCTGGCCCAAGGTGGACATTTTAAGGGATGCAGAACAAACACGAACGATCCTTATCCCTGGGGTGCATACAGCCTGGTGGTAGTCGGGGGGGCAGAGGGAGAGCCATTTTGTAATCAGCTGGATCCATCAGATAACAAATGAGTGGGTCAGGCCATGTGTAGTTGCTGACACTGGGCTAGAAGCTGCAAAGCCAGGGACTCAAGTGGTAGAGGATGTAGTAGCCAAATAATCTGGAGCAAGTGTCTCCCAGGATCCAGATTTAACTTCTTTGTGTATAAAATGAGAGTGCTGAGCTCAAAGTGCTGCTCTCCTGTCTATGAGGAGTAAACTAGGTAATAGAAGAACAGAAGACCTGAAGAATGAAGTTCTCAGAACACACGCTCACATGGGGAGGGGACACTGTTTAACCATGGGGACAGAGTCTGAGAAACGCATCATTCGGTGATTTCATCTTTGTATGGACATCAGAGCATCTACTAACACAAGCCCAGATGTCATGGATCAGTTACTGGACATGGCCTCTCCAGGGCAAGAGACTAAGTAGAAGACAGGTGAGGCTGCCCTGGAATAGCCCAGCAACTGTTTTACAATCAACATCTCTCACAAGTAGAAAGCATACCCCAGAGTATAATGAACGAAGTGACGGCCATTTGTTATCACTCACCGATGCAGATGATTTTGTGTGCTGTACTCGTTTTTATACATTTACTCAGTGTGCAGGGTGTGTGTTTGTGTCCTGGGACTGAACACTAGTGTGGCACGCAGTCTTACCATCTGAGCTCTCTGTGTGCTCTAGTTTTAAATGCCTCACAGCACGTATAACACACAGGTGCTGTGATGGCAATGCTTTTTTTAGTTCAGTTATCTTGTGGGACTAATGAAATATATGGATTCAAGGTTGATTCAACATTGCTTCGTGGCGGTTGACTGTGTGGTAATATACATATAGCTGTGGAGTGGAGAGGAGAGCAGTGGACGCTGTTGTAGTTACAGAAACATTCCTGGAAGAACTGGGTCTTGGATAAGGACGAAAGGGTTTGGAGAGGCAAAGGCTCTGGGGCCAGCCAGACTGTGACCTTGACTTCGGCTTTCCCTGGTTTCTAACTGGTATTCACCTGCTGCCACTTTGCTATTCTTCCTTCTTTGCCTGGTTACCCTTCCGCCCCCTTTCCTCATATTTATTGAACTGCCTGTGTACCCAGTCTAACTTTCTATCCAGATGTGAAATACTCCCATCCTACCCAGGTAGTTCCCTGAAAGAGAAGTAAAGCCAGCCAGAGGGAAACAGGGCTCAAGCCAGAGCTCACCAGGCAGCCCCCACTCCCAGCTGCTCTGTCCCTCTGTCCTTGCCCCAGCTGGAAGCCTGTGGCTGAGTACATCGACCAGCAGTTTGAGCAGTACTTCCGGGATGAGAGTGGCCTGAACCGGAAGAACATCCAAGACAACCGGGTGCACTGCTGCCTGTACTTCATCTCGCCCTTCGGCCACGGGTATGCTCTGAGCCTGAGGCTCCTGGCACCACCGGGTTCTACTAAGGGAACAGGCCAAGAGCACCGCAGGCAGGGCTGCCACTAGCAGGTGGTCACAGGTTCCTGTTCCCCAGGCTCCGGCCATTGGATGTTGAATTCATGAAGGCCCTGCATCAGCGGGTCAACATTGTGCCTATCTTGGCTAAGGCAGATACACTGACGCCTCCCGAAGTGGACCGAAAGAAATGCAAAGTGAGGGGAACTGGTGGAGGGAGGGAGTCAGGCGGGCTGCTAGAAAAGATGGGGCACCCAGAACTGTGGACCCCTCGTCTGTTTGCCAGATCCGGGAGGAGATTGAGCACTTTGGAATCAAGATCTATCAGTTCCCAGATTGTGATTCTGATGAGGATGAGGACTTCAAATTACAGGACCAAGCCCTAAAGGTGGGGCCACCCTAGGGCACCCCTTTCCCATCTTGGGGAGTAGAATTCTATATAAGGACAGACTGTTGGGGTGGAAGAGGACCCTGTCTTCTTAGAGCGCAGCAGAAGGTACGAGTGGAAAGGACAGGTGAGACCAAGGATGCTGACGGCAACCCTAACTCCTTTTAGGAAAGCATCCCATTCGCGGTGATTGGCAGCAACACTGTGGTAGAAGCCAGAGGGCGGAGAGTTCGGGGCAGGCTCTACCCTTGGGGCATCGTGGAAGGTAAAGCTCCGAGCTGGTGACCAGAGTCCTTGCCCTTCGGGGCTGCTCTTTACCTATGACCCTGGCTGACTCCTGGCCTTGCCATGCAGTGGAAAACCCGGGTCACTGCGACTTTGTGAAGCTGAGGACAATGCTGGTGCGTACCCACATGCAGGACCTGAAGGACGTGACCCGAGAGACACACTATGAGAACTACAGGGCACAGTGCATCCAGAGCATGACCCGCCTGGTAGTGAAGGAACGGAACCGCAAGTATGACCAGAAGCCAGGACAAGCTGGCCAGGGGAACCCCAAGTCCTCCCCTTAGGACTCCGCAGGCCCCAGGCTTCACTCAAGTTGGTGCTGGGGTCCCCCCAACCTCACTACCCTTTCCCCCTCCCTTCAGCAAACTGACAAGAGAGAGTGGTACTGACTTCCCTATCCCCGCTGTCCCACCAGGGACAGATCCAGAAACTGAGAAGCTAATCCGAGAGAAAGACGAAGAGGTGAGAGCAGTATGCTGTGGCTGGCCGCCTGGGATGTCCCGTGGGATAATTCTCAGGGGCTCTTGGCTTGGGACTAGAAAGACCCCTGGCTCTGGTACATGTGGGGGCTGCTGAGTGGCTCGCCAATTTCATCATGTGTGAGGGCTACCAAGGCCTCAGACTCAAGGGATGAGAATCTGGGGACACTTCTGCAATACAGTAAGACGCTCCCTGTCAAACACCTTGTTTTGACGTGTGTACCTATTTCAGCTTCGGCGGATGCAGGAGATGCTACACAAAATCCAAAGACAGATGAAGGAGACTCACTAACTGGCTTCTGGACCTGAATATTTAAATCTCTTCTTCCTGCCCACGCCAGCCCCTCCCTGCACCAGCTCTGCTCAGGCCCCTGCAGCTACTACCACTTCGCCTTATACCCCTGCCAACTTCTCAGAGACTCAGAGGAAATAAACTTTAATCTATATGTGCCTTTGGGTGTGTCTCTGTATCTTTGCCATCTCCTGGATATAAAGCTCCTATGAGTCAGTTTGAAAGGCTGATACTGGTTCCTGGCTTTTAGTAGGAAACCGAAGGAGGGGAAGAGTTTCCCCTTCCCTTGGAAAGTTCACTCTGCTTACATTCTATTCTGACTCCATTATCTGGGCCCCAAGCCTCCATGTTTCCCACACACAACACCTTCATTTTGTAGCTGCTCTTGGGAAAACAAGAGCACGGCAACCTCCAACTTCCTGCACCCCCCCCCCCCCAATTCGGATAAATAGATCTGCAGAATTAAGCTCTAAATTCCAGGAAGCTTTCGGTACAGCACTGAACAAATGCGGAGGGTCCTGTAATTAAAGACTTAAGAGCCGCCACAGAAAACACATCACTGTCCCCAAGGAGTTTAGGATCAAGCTTCTGTTAGGTTGCAGACCCTGGTTCTACATCCTGGGGCTGAAACAGTGAACTCAGGCGAGGTTTCTGTTTTCCTATGACTTCTAACTGTACCAAAAGTTCCAGTGCTTTAGAAACTACCACACGGGAGGACACTAGCCTGATTTCTAAGTGCTCAGCCCCACTCTAGAACTTAGGATTATCTGTTGAGAATCAGAATCTTTTTTCCATTTCTGTTTGGTTAGTAGTAGCGCGGGTCACGCAGACCTCCAGCAGTCACCCTCCGTCCTGTGGCTGGCTCCGGGTGCCTGCGAGTCTTGTCCCTCCACCCCTTTAACAGACTGAGAAGCCGCAGTTAGCTAATGGCAGTCAGACCCACTTCTCCTCTCTCGGCTGAGAGATCTTTTCTCAGGACTGGCGGCCAAGATGGGTCTCGAAGGGCGGCAAGGTCGGTCGTCGATAAAAATCGGAGGCTGCAGAAGAACCTGTCCAGACACGCGAGAGAAAACGCCAGCGCCAATGAGAGAGTTCCTTATTCCTATCCTTCCAGAAGGGTCTTTCTCAAGTGTTGCTTTTCCATAGCTTCAACGGTCCATCATAAACCCAGCTCTTCTCTTTCGCGGACTAAGACATTTTTCCTGAAGGATTTTCTTCTCCATCGACCGGGGGGATGGAAAATAAGGAAGTAATGGAGCTGAAGGAGGACTGGGAAGGGACATGAAACGGAATCTAGTCCTTCCCCTTTCCTAGCCGGCGTGCTTTCCTCCCGTTCTTGCACTATTGGAGCGAAACAGAAACACGACTGAATTAAAACGCGGGGCCACGGGGAAGTCATTTGAGAACCACCTCTAGGGCTCCGTCGTCACCGGAAGTGACTGCAAAACCTGCCCTGCATTGTCCCGCCCTCCAGTTGCGCTACCAGTAGGCGACGGGGCCGCCGTACTTCCGGTCCCCGGAGCCGTAGTCTGCAACCCCTCTTACTCCTCTCCTATTGGCTGCCATAGGGACGCGCTGTGATTTCCTATTGGCCGCGTCGTTCCTCTGGCGCCAAGCCTCCTCCCTCCGTACTGTCTGGTCTCTGGGTGCCGGATAGGTTACAGGCTGAGAGGGCGTCTGCCCACCGGGCCAGTGAGCAGCGTGCAGAGTGAGGGCGGCGGCTGCGTGGTAAGGCCGGGCGGAACTTCGGGTGGCCATTGGCCAGGGCGGGTAGAGGCTAGAGATACGATTGGTTGGGGAGAAGGGACCGTGGTGGGGTTCGAGCTGCGCGGCCTCAGCAGCTGCGGGAGACGGAAGTGGTGAGAGCGCGGCTTTGGAGGGTCGGGCGGACGCCGCCTGGGTGAGTCACTGTACCCCGTGCACTGCCAGCCTGGGAGCCACAACGACCAAGTGCTGCCCGGCCCTCACCGGCTCTCCCGAGTCCCGCCTTCTGTCATTTGGGGCTCCGCCTCCGAGCCTCTAGCCCCGCCCCTAGAACCTGGGCACCTGGGATCTCCTGCCAGCCTGGCCCGTCCCCCTACCCCAAGACCAGATTCCCTAACTGGGGGAACCCGGGGCCTCCTGGGCCTGGTCCTTGTCGCTCCCTTCCTCTCTCCGTCTCTCAGGCTGCGTGCCAGTGAGCCGTGAGGCAGCACCTCCGGCTGGCCGCTTGCGGGCTCCCCCGTGAGGGAGGGAAGGTTGGTAGGATCACAATGGAGGCTTTAATCGCTGTAGCCTCCTGTGGGACTCTGCTGCACACCCCACACCCCCCCGAGCATGCCAAACATGAAGGAGTGTCAGTGAAGCTCGGGCCTGGCTCCCCAAGGGGAGCCAGGAGGCCTTAACTTGAAATACTTGTTAATTCGACCCATTTGACAGATGTTGACTCCCTGGCCGGGCTGGCCCGATTCTGCTCCCATTATGCGGTCTCCTCCCTATAACCTTCATCTACTTGGTCTCAAGTATGCTCAGCGGGACCGGGCCAACCCTGCTGCTCTTTTATCACTGGTTGTGGTCCTCTCTTGTCCTCTGCTCTGGACTCTGCCCCCAATAACAGGTCAGGTGGGTGCTACTCCTAGACTCAGAGACTGGCCGGACAGCCCTGTGGATTCATGCCCCTACCAGGGCCAAAAGTGAGTCCCAGTTGCGCAGTCTTTGTCTCTTCGGAGTTGGCATTTCTTCTCTTTTGTAAAGAGCAGGGTTTGGAGTGCTCTGCTTCTGGGTGTGGAATCAGAACGATTGAGTTCCGCTGAGTAAACGGGGATGCTTCTTATTCCTGCTCCCGAACTTTAGTGGTGGACTTCACAGCGCGGGATCAACTTGTTGCTTCTCCCTTTGCCTGATTGGTGTGGCGGCTTGTTGAGAGTCTGGGTCCTCTGTGACAGAGGAAGATGAGTGGTAGAGAAGTTCAGGGGTAAACCTGTGACATTTGATTCCATGGTGATGTTAATGGTGCCCTTCACTCTTGTATTCTGTCTCTTTAGTGACAAGCAGGCAGCCAGGACCCTCGCCAAGGTAGAATGGTGAGTACTCCTATTTCCTCATACCAATGTGTATAATCTTGAGTCTGTCCCTGGGAAGCTGCCCCACCTCTCTGGATCCTAGTGTTCCAGGGTACTCGGTTCACTTCCTAAGCAGGTTCATCCGACCTGATAAATTGTTTCTTTTTTTTTTTTTTTCTTTCTGTTTTCTTTTGGTGGTGGGTGTTGTTTTGAGGCAGATTCTAGCTATAAAGCCGTGGCTAGCCTGGTACTAGAAATGTAGCCCGTGCTGGCCTTGAACTTGTGGCAACCCTTCTGCCTCTGTTTCCCAAAGTGCTAGGATTACCAGTGAATGCATGTTGGGCCTTGCACATGGTAGGCAAGTACTCTAATACTGAGCTGTGTATCTAGTTTATGGTTTCCTAGGATTGAAAAAAAAATCAGGCAGTATACAGTACTGGCCTAGCAGCTTACAGTTTCTCTGTATGTGTTAGGTCATGGCCTCCCTGTGCTCACAGACTACTCGATCTCCTCGTGTTTTTCCCGGGTCCTGGTTAAAACTCTCCATATTGCTGTCTAAAAACAAAACAAACCCAAATTTTTCTTACCTTAAGATTCCTGAGCTTGAGGGCGTGGTGGCACAGGCTTTTAGTCCCAGAACTTGGAGGCAGAGGCGGGTGAATCCGCGTGAATTCAAGGTCAGCCAGGTCTATGTAGTGAGTTCCAGGACTATGTAGAAAGACCCCATGTCTTAAAAAAAAAAAAAAAATCAGATCCCTGGTGAGTCTCATGAATACATTGTTGGCTCTGTGCTAGAGTGTGACTCCACCTAGATTGTAGGCCTTACCCAGGTCCCAGGTGTTGCTGTCTACTAAGCTCCTACAGATGACAGCTTGCTGAATATCTCCTCGGACAGCATTCTGAAGGCATCCAGAATATCATTGGGGTGGTGCATCACAACCCCGAGAAATTCTCAAGTTGAGGAAATTCCTTAATTCCCCCTGGAGAGCTAGGACTCCACCATTAAGATGAGGAAGAGGTGTGGGCAGCCTTTTCCAGGAAAGACTCGCCCTTCGACTGCATCTCTTCAGTTTCTTTCAGGGGTCACAGTTAGCCCAGGCGCTTTTCAGAAAGCCTACCGCTGATCCAGCTCCCACCAACTGATCTCGCGCCTTCTTTTCCATTTGGTGGTACACCGAAGGGTATGCGCTTCAGGGTTGGCCTCACCTACTTAATCTAGCACCAGCACTTAATACCTTAAGCGAAATTCACTCTTTCCCTTAAGCCTAAAGACTCACATCCCAGTGAAACGGGATGGAGGTTTATTTCTTGGAGAGTTAGGGTAATGCTTGACACTGCTGGGCATTATTGTAAGGACTTAATAAAAATGTCAGGTTTTTGTATTCATCCTGGTCCCCCCAAACAAAGACTTGGTTTCTGAAAGTTACCAGGTACGAGAAGTTTAGGAGCTCCTCCCGTTCCTTTTGGAAACATTCAGCCCTTATCACTCACTACTCCTTATTCTTTGGCTCACTACCCAGCTCCATTCATTCTCCCTACTCCTGGGTTTTGAGTTTTGTTTTCCTTATAGTTTCAGGGGTCCATAATCCCAGTTCTTTTCTCAGATTAAGAAGTTCTTCCAGAAGGATTTTCTTTTCCATTGCCCAGGGCATGGAAATCAAAGGAGAAATAGAATTAAAGGGGAAGGGCCGGGGAGGGCCGTGAAATAAAAAAGGGTTTCCCTTACAGAAATGTGGAATGACCACTAAGATAACACCAGACCAACATTCCTTTTAGAGGACAAGAGTTTAGTGTAAGCTGGGTAGTGGAGGAGGGCCAGTGAACCGAGCATAGGTGGGTGGTGGTTTCGGAGGGAGAGAAGGCAGGTTTGGGCTGTCAAGAACATGGGGTGAGCTCCATCTTGGGATCCGCAGCAAGCGAAGAGGGAGCTCCGGGAGAAGAGAAGAGGGTGGGAAATGTATGACAAGAAGGGTTTGGGTAGCACACCTGGAAAAATGGGAAATGAGAAGGTGTGGGCGGACTCGCTTCCCCTTTCTGAGCAGTCCCCGGGCGGTCCCTCGGCCCATTCTAGAATGTCCCTAGAAGTCCGGGAGTGGGGGGTTGTCGCCCTCGCCGCCGCCCCCGCGGGAGGAGCCAGGGCGGCGGGCGGGGCCCCGAGAGCCGCTCCGCTCCGCCTCCGCCTCCACCTCCCGGCGGCGGCGTCCTGGGCGCTCCTGTCGCCGGGCTCCCCTCCCTTCCGCGCTCCTGCCGGAGGGCGGAGCCGGGCCCGCTCCATTGTGGAGAGGAGGGGAGAGGCGCGCGGGAGCAGAGGCTGGGTCCCGGCGCCAGGGCGCTCGCTTCTGGCCGCGGCTGCATCTGGCGGGCCCCGCAGCCGGGATGCAGCGGGCGCCCAGGGCTGGCGGGCAGCGCAGCGGCTCCGGGGACATGTGCGCTGGCCCAGACAGCCCGCGACCATGAGCCTGACCGCCCGCGTCTCCTGCTCCATGCTTAGCTGCTTCGTAAGTGCCAGGCCTGTCCTGCCAGGGCCTGGGGCGGGGGTTGGGGGGGGGGTGCTCAATGCATGCTGTACCCACAGCCCCGCCCAAGGACCCCGGCACGACCTCAAACCTTAGGGGCAGGGGAGACGGCTTAGCTCTTTTCTCTCTCAGACTTGCTTCAAGAAAGCGGGTGGGTACTGGGGATTGTAGAAGGCCAGGGATGATAATTCTGTGATTCCTTCTGGCTCTGCAGCCACTGCCCTTGACTGCAGATTTTCAGGCCCCGCCCTGCAGGGGTACATCCCATTACCTCCTCCTCTCCATCTTGGTCCCACCCGCTACATCCTTGCTTGGGGATGTAGGATGTGTCTAGTAGGCTGTGTGGGATGTTAGGGGGCTGAACGAGGAGCTTAGATGTTTGTGAGCTGTCTCTAGGTCTCCAGTCCCCTCCCCCTCACACACTCCATCGTTCACCTGACATACCAGTCTTTTCTCCTTGACTGTCCCCCAGACAGCCTCCCTCTCCATCTTCCCTGCCTCTGCAGGGTTCTGTATCTCTGAATCATTCCCAGTCTTCCCCTCCTCCCCTCTGGCTAATGCTCCTTCCCAGCTTCCCCCATCTGTCCTCTCAGATGTCGTGTCCCCCCCCAACACCCCCCCCCCCCGAGGTGTCTGCCAGGCCTCCTCTCTCCCCTGGCTGTCCTTGGGTCTCCTGCTTCCTCTCTGAGCATGGATTCCCTCGTTTCTTCTCCCTTGGTAGTTGGGAGCAGAGTGACTTCTCCTCACTGTGGGTATTCCTTAGGAATTCCCCTCGGATCAGCAGGCGGGCCGGTTGCTTGGCACTTGGCGGGTAGTGGGGGCTTGTCAGGAGCGTGAGCCCAATGGGAAGATAAGCTCAGCTCCAAAACACATCTTTCTTTTTGAAGGCATTCACAAAGGCCCTCTAGAGGCATGGGACTGAATCCCCCCCAACCTCCTCCTCTTTGTCTCCACCCACCAGGTTGATGCTTGAATGGCTGGAGGGGCCTGATTTCCTTTCTCTCTCTAGCCAGCTACATACCTGACCCCTGTTCCTCAGGTGTCCTTCCGGGTCCTGGTCCTGTCTTGTTCTGACATGAGTCTTCTTTGATTCCCCCCTCCCTCACAGTTTTTGCAATGTTGGTTCTAAGAAGCCTAACCAGTACAGATCCCCAGCTCCTCCTTGGCTACCCTTCTGTTTCCCTGAGAACCCCGCTATGTCACCCTGCCTCTAGCCAAGCCGGCTCCTTCCCTCCTCTGGGAACCAGAGCCTTTCCGTATGTGGTGAGGAGCGCGTCTCTGGGCTGGTAGAGGAAGAGAGTGATGAGGCTCGGGAGCCACGTGGGGTCTGGCAACTCAAGGTTATGGTCTCCCTGCAGGGTGAGGAGGGCCCCCCCAGCCTGGAGTACATCCAAGCCAAGGATCTGTTCCCCCCCAAGGAACTCGTGAAGGAGGAGGAGAACCTTCAGGTAAGGAGGAACAGGAGACTCAGGGCGGGAGCGGCCTCCTGCCCTGTTAGGGCTCTCGACTCCCGAATCTTTAGAGGATCTCCAGATCTCTGGCCTCCTCTCCTAGGTCTCCGAGGGGAGCGGGGGTGTGTGTTTGTCAGCCTGTGCATTAGTGGAGCCTTCGGCCTCAGGGAAGGAGAGGCAGCTTTCCTGGACAGCTGATGACTTGACTTCTGACTCTCCTTCGTTATCCACCTTTTTCTGAGGGCAAAGACAGGGAGAGACTGGCTTTTGGCTGAGGCTTCCTCTGACCTTTGACAGGTACCCTTCACGGTGCTTCAGGGTGAGGGAGTGGAATTCCTGGGCCGGGCGGCTGACGCCCTCATTGCCATCTCCAACTACCGGCTGCATATCAAGTTCAAAGACTCTGTCATCAACGTGAGTTCTTGTCTTGTCTTCCGAACCCCAGTGTGCTTCCAAGTGGTATTGTTCCAATTCCCTACCTGATTATGTCTCTAAAAACAGTTGGGATTCCCTTCTCGTTGGCTTTGGTATTTCTTGCTTCATTCCTCTGCGTACAAGTTTGTGTGTCTCTCTTCCTCCCTTTCTTTCTTTTATCCTGTTGGGCCCCACCTCCTTTAAAGATTTATTTTTATCTTACGTTGATTTGTGAGTGCCTGCATGCATGTATGTATATGCACCATGTGCGTGCCTAGTGCCTTAGGAGACCAGATGAGGGCATCGAGCTGGAGTTCCAGGGGGTTGTGAGCCACCATGTGGGTGCTGGGAACTGAACCCAGGTCCTCTGCAAGAGCAGCAAGTACTGCTAACCATTGGATTACCTCTCCAGCTCCCGGTGCAGGCTTTTCCAGGAGTGTGGTAACTGGCATTATTAGAAGAGCAGAGACTTTGGAACCAGGCAGATTTGGCCTTATCTTGCATTTCCACTTCCGTGTCACCTTGGACAGTGATGATGTCCTCCTTATTGAATCAAATCACCCGCCTTCCGTGTTATTTGGTATTGACTGGTTCCATGTGTGAAGCACCTGGCATCGTTACCAGGCCCCCTCAGCAGCTGCTGACTCCCTTCTCTCCATTAGTGGGTCACCTTCCAGGCCAGGGTGTATCTGAGCCTCGGTCTGCTCCTCCACTGCAGGTGCCTCTCCGAATGATTGACAGTGTGGAGAGTCGGGATATGTTCCAGTTGCACATTGCCTGCAAGGACTCCAAAGTGGTGAGGTGAGCACGATGGGGCCTCGTTCACGTTCTCTGACCCTGGTCTTGTGCAGACCTCTCTCCTGCGCGCACCTTTGGAGCAAGAGAGGAAAGATACACCATTCCCTTTGCCCACTGAAGGAAAAAGTAACAATTCCGTCCCCTGTTCTTAGTTGGAAGGTCAACTTGCTAACCCATTCTGTTTTGACCTGAAATAAAATGGGCACGTTATTTAGCCGATGGAGCAAGCCATCGTGAGGATTCCTTGAGGTAATGCGTATGAGCGCCTGGGTCGGCGTCTGGCACAGAGCTCTCATTTCCGTAACCTAAGTTTGTTGAGCAGTCTGCGCCACACAGTTTAGGTGCTGCAGACGCAGCGAAGCACTCACAAATATTCTGCCCTAAAGATCTTATACTCTAGGGGGAGGCACTAACAATAAATAGTGAAATACTTTAAATAATGCTGAGTGTAAAATTAAAAATAAAATCAAGGAGGGCTTTAGCAGGTTATAACTTTAAACAAGTGACCGGAGAAAGTTGCATAGATAATGCGTGTTTGCGTCAGGACCTGAGGAAAGTGACCGAGCAGGTATTTGAGGGAAAGGTGTGCCAAAGGGCAAGTTGAGTGCAAAGGTTCTGAAGTGGGTGTGTACCTGTGCCTGCACATCGGAGGAATGGCGTGGTGCTAGTGTGGCTGGACGGAGTACACGTGGGGGAGGGTAGAGGGATCTAAGGCACCAGAGCAACGGGCAGGGGTTGCGGTGACTGGTGTCGGCTTTGACTTTGAGGACACTGAGAAATCCTTGGAGGCTGTTGAGCAAAGGAGCCATGCGATTTATGGGCTCGCCCTGGCTGTTACATTGAAGCCTGGTGGAAGAAAATGGGGACAAGGCCAGGGCTGCGGCTGCGGGCCTAGTTAGGAAGCTGTTACAGCTGATGAGGTGAGAGGTGATGGTGCCCTGCCGAGGTTCGAGAGTGGTCAGGTGCTGGCTGTGCTCTGAAGGTTGAGATGACAGGACTTGCCCTAAGTTGGCTATGAGAGGAAGGGGCTGGTCCAGTATTGAGAAGGAAGCCCAGGTGAGGGCCTGCCATGTACTGAGGCCTCTGGCAGACTCGTGGGAATC